GACAGCGTTGTCATGGCACCTCGCATGTCAACAAAGAGCTCTAGGGGGAATATTCCTTTCTGTCTAGTAGTGGGCAATTTTTCTCAATCATCCGTCAATGAAGGGTAGACATTTACATGTAATGAGAGCCATTTCAAAGAAATAAGATTCTGAAATGGTTTTGATAATATCAGCTGTCTGGGTTTTAGCTAGAGAGACGAAACCAAAAGTGGCTGCAGACCTATTCAGAGTGCTCAGTTCCCTATTCTAGTAACAGCTCTTAGGCAAGTCATCGATGCATTCAGTAGGCCCACTCTTTACCTTCTCCATGTGTTTATGTGAGATAAGTAAAGTGGTACTGTATATAATGTCAGATGCTTACAGCGGTAAATGACAATGTTAGCTATGCATGTATAGCCTATCCATTAGAGAATATCCTTAACCTCAACGTCAATATTTACAGGAATTGCCTATAGGCAGGAGAATCGACCACATCTTAAGAACAGTATTTCCTCCTCTCGCTCTCTCTCTCTCATCCTCTTCATCTCTCTATTCCCTCTCTCCTCCTCAGTATCTGTCGATAGCAGCACTGGGCTGGTGAGATGTTTGACTTCTTTATTTTCTTTGTTTTGATATTTGTGTGTGACGGCTGAGGTTTTGACACAGACTCAGCGAAGGGCTGAGAGATGCTAGATGACGTGTGTCAAGTGATATTAAACGTGAGATCCCTCTTCCTCTCCCCTCTCGTTCCTGGCTTTGTCCACTGTGGTTAGTGTGAAGAATGACACTTCTCATCTCTGTTTAGGGGAAATAAATTCCCTGTCTGATGTATTACCCCTCCAATCGTACTGGGCAGCGCGGCCTGGGCTCACTCTGGCCTACATAGACAAAGGCAGGTTCAGGAAGGACAAAGACAAGCTCAAATAACATCCCCAACATATTCCCTATATAGAGGCGTTGATCGAAAGTAGTTCACTTTATATGGAACAGGGTGCCAATTGAGAGACAAGGCTCAGTGTAGGTCTATGTGAAGTATCCTGAATGCAAAGGGAAGACGGCATAGTGATATGTGTGTCTCGTATCATATGTGCAGTAACATACTTTGTGATTTCATATGGGAGCTAATCAGGGCCTGGGGCAGTGAGGGACTATTAGGACATGTTAGCTAATCTAATTGCTAATGAATTAGTGTGTAAGCGGTTGTGGTTCTGTGCCCTCTCTGTAGCCTTCTTTGTCCTTTCAATGAGGAATTGAATAATAATTTGGTTTGTGTAAATATTTGTCCTGGTTCACACATGTACAAGTGTGGATTATACGCATGTGTGAAATGTCCATTATCAATTAGGGTTAAAGGGATAGTTCACCCAAATTACAAAATTACATATTGGTTTCCTTACCCTGTAGTCAGTCTATGGACAAGCTATGACCGCAATCCATGCTTCGGTTTAGTTTCTCTGGCACGGTTTCCACATGCTAATGTTTTAGCATTTGTGGCAGAAGTCCCATTCAAGTTATGGGACCGATATTTACATTTCTTGTCCAAATCATCCGAAAGTATCTAAAATGGATTGTGAAGTCACTTATAGATGTTTTGAACATGATGTGTGAACAATTCTAATATATACAGTACCAGTCAAAAGTTTGGACACACCTACTAATTCCAGGGATTTTTCTTTATTTTTAATATTTTCTACATTGTAGATTACTAGTGAAGACATCAAAACTATGAAATAACACATGGAATCATGTAGTAACCAAAAAAGTGTTAAACAAATCAAATATATTTTATATTTGAGATTCTTCAAATAGCCACTGTTTGCCTTGATGACAGCTTTGCACACTCTTGGCATTCTCTCAACCAGCTTCATGAGGTAGTCACCTGGAATGCATTTCAATTAACAGGTGTGCCTTGTTAAAAGTTAATTGGTGGAATGTCTTTCCTTCTTAATGTGTTTGAGCCAATCAGTTGTGTTGTGACAAGGTAGGGGGGGTATACAGAAGAAAGCGCTATTTGGTAAAAGACCAAGTCCATATTATGGTAAGAACAGCTCAAATAAGCAAAGAGAAACGACAGTCCATCATTACTTTAAGACATGAAGGTCAGTCAATACGGAACATTTCAAGAACTTATAAGGTTTCTTCAAGTGCAGTTGCAAAAATCATCAAGCGCTATGATGAAACTGGGTCTCATGAGGACCACCACAGGAATGGAAGACCCAGAGTTAACTCTGCTGCAGAGGATAAGTTCAGTAGAGTTACCAGTCTCAGAAATTGCAGCCCAAATAAATGCTTCACAGAGTTCAAGTCACAGACACATCTCAACATCAACTGTTCAGAGGGGACTGTGTGAATCAGGCCTTCATGGTCGAATTGCTGCAAAGAAACCACTACTAAAGGACACCAATAAGAAGAAGAGACCTTCTTGGGCCAAGAAACACGAGCAATGGACATTAGACCAGTGGAAATGTGTCCTTTGGTCTGGAGTCCAAATTGGAGATATTTGGTTCCAACCACCATGTCTTTGTGAGACGCGGTGTGGGTGAACAGATGATCAGGCTATTTACGGGCTATTTTACCAAGCAGGAGAGTGATGGATGCTGCATCAGATGACCTGGCCTCCACAATCCCCCGACCTCAACCCAATTGAGATGGATTGGGATGAGTAGGACTGCAGAGTGAAGGAAAAGCAGCCAACAAGTGCTCAGCATATGTGGGAACTCCTTCAATACTGTTGGAAAAGCATTCCAGGTGAAGCTGGTTGAGAGAATGCCAAGAGTGTGCAAACCTGTCATCAAGGCAAAGGGTGGCTATTTGAAGATTTTAAAATATAAAATATCTTTGATTTGTTTAACACTTTATTTGTTTACTACATGATTCCATATGTGTTATTTCATAGTTTTGATGTCTTCACTATTATTCTACAATGTAAAAAATAGTAAAAAATAAAGAAAAACCATTGAATAAGTAGGTGTGTCAACTAATAGTCTTGGAAGGATCCTGCTTGATTCTGTGGCGAATCGCGTCTCTGCATGTCTGGCAGACATATCAGTGTGGATGTCGGATCACCACCTCAAGCTGAACCTCGGCAAGACGGAGCTGCTCTTCCTCCCGGGGAAGGACTGCCCGCTCCATGATCTCGCCATCACGGTTGACAACTCCATTGTGTCCTCCTCCCAGAGTGCAAAGAACCTTGGCGTGACCCTGGACAACACCCTGTCGTTCTCTGCTAACATCAAAGCGGTGACCCGATCCTGCAGGTTCATGGTCTACAACATTCGCAGAGTACGACCCTACCTTACACAGAAAGCGGCACAGGTCCTAATCCAGGCACTTGTCATCTCCCGTCTGGATTACTGCAACTCGCTGTTGGCTGGGCTCCCTGCCTGTGCCATTAAACCCATGCAACTTATCCAGAACGCTGCAGCCTGTCTGGTGTTCAACCTTCCCAAGTTCTCTCACGTCACCCCGCTCCTCCACTACTACAAGACCATGGTGCTTGCCTACGGAGCTGTGAGGGGAACGGCACCTCCTTACCTTCAGGCTCTGATCCTAAACCCAAACGAGGGCTCTACGTTCATCCAGCTCTGGCCTGCTAGCCCCCCTACCTCTACGGACGCACAGTTCCCGCTCAGCCCAGTCAAAGCTATTCGCTGCTCTGGCACCCCAATGGTGGAACAAGCTCCCCCACGACACCAGGACAGCGGAGTCACTGACCACCTTCCGGAGACACTTGAAACCCTACCTCTTTAAGGAATACCTGGAATAGTATAATAGTAATCCTTCTACCCCTCCTTTACTACCACTGTCTTTTGTCTAAACTAACACCTGACTTATTTCACCTGCTAGCACTGACTTGTTTAAAGAAATGTACTTATTGTGATCGAGATGTAGTTGTCCCTGATTGCACTGACTTTGCTCACAGCTGCTTGTTTGAAGAAGTGTACTTACTGTGATCAAGATGTGGTTGTCCCACTGGCTATCCTAAGTTGAATGCACCAATTTGTAAGTCGCTCTGGATAAGAGCATCTGCTTAATGACTTCAATGTAAATGTGTGTCCAAACTTTTGAATGGGATTTGTGCCATGAATGCTAAAACGTTAGCATGTGGAAACAGTGCCAGGGAAACTAATCCATAGCATGGATTGCTGTCATACGTTGACCATAGACTGCTTACATGGTAACGAAACCAATATGTCATTTTGTAATTTGAGTGAACTATCCCTTTTTAAGTGGCACATCAACAGATTTTCACCTTTTCAGCTCAGGGATTCGAGCTAGCGACCTTTCGGTTACTGGCCCAACGCTCTAACCGCTAGGCTACCTGCCTTTAGGCTACTACTTGAAATCAATTCACGAATGGATAGTAAATGTGGACTATATCCTAAATTACACTGTTTCAAAAGAAGAGATAAGAGTAATGATTGAGTAGTGAATGAGTGAGCGAGCTTATTGATCTGGGCTCACAGGATAATAGGAAGTACACACTACAGTGATTGCAAAATGCCAAACAAAGAGATATTGGTGTGTGAGGGGTTAACTCTTCCAAGCTGCCATTTTCCTAGGAGGTGTTTCATTTTTCTCTCTGTGTGATGGGACCAGGGAGGTGTGTGTGTGTGTGTGTGTGTGTTCCACTGTACCCCCACTACTTCTCTCACCCATGCATGCAGGATGGCTAGTTGTTAAATTGGCATGTATGGGTGTGTAGGCTTTTAGACATCATTATCTTGGACTGTGTGTTAATTTGGGCTGTGTATGTGTGTGGTTAGGGTGGGGGCTGGGGTGTTAGTACATCTGGATGTGAATAGTTGATGGTAAACGACCCGAGTGACTCCAGGAAAGAAGGGGTTAAGTCCGAGCCGGCAGGGCTGCGTTACGCTAATGGCAGCTGGCTGAAGCAGAAAGAGGAAGTGCTGAGCTCAGAGGAACCCAGACGGCGAAACCTCTCCCTCCCTCCCCCTCGCTACAGCTGAGCGCTCCCCATGCTTCCCACCGGTGTGTGTGCGCGTGTGCGTAGTGCTGGAATGCAGCTTCCCCCTCCTCTGGGCCTGTGTGTGTGTGTGTGTGTCTGGAGTGGTGCCTCTTGTCTGGTGTGTGACGTCAGCACACACACAGCAGGTCAGTTTAAGGTTACTACAATCTTCACTCCGTTGATCTACGTCCGTGGGATTTTTGGTGTAGCGGACACCTTTTGGTAACATGATATCCTCGCCGGTCCCACTCCCATTCACAAGGGGGCGATAGCAACGTTTTTTTATTTTTTTATTTGGTGAAAGCAAGGAAGAGTCGCCTTCCCTCGCTAGTAGTAGCAGCTAGCTGGCAGCCTGGGTAGCTGGCTTTTGCCTTACTAAAAAGATAGCAAGCTAGGTAACCTTTTTAGTTTCCCACATCTCCATGTGAAATAATCTGATTTATAATTAAAAAAATATGCCGGGCAAATAATCGTATATTGCAGATGTAACCTAAAACATTATCCCAGTTTGATTTGCTGCTTGTGTATTCATTCCCATATTATCTAAAAATATTAAGTCATCATGTTTTGGTCATGGAGAAAAAAGCATATGGCTATCTAGTTGGCTACAGCAGGATCTACCATTTCACTATAGTATGTACTCACTAGTTATTAATTCTAAACAAAATACCTTTTTGGGTGGATTCTTGTGGTTTGGTTTACTGTTTGAACAGTCGCTGAGATTATATTTGGTTATCAATGAAAATAGGCTACTTTGATGAATAGCCTATAGATCAGATCAAGGAACCAAGCGACAACACTGCCCTCACCGGCTACGGAAGGAATCATACAGCGTTTTTACATGTTCACGTAGTAAAAAAGTATGTCGAATGCCAGAGCATATTACAAGGAGCTGCCCCTTTTGTGACGAAAAACGACATTGCAACACTCCGAATTGTGCATCTGTGTAGAGCTTGTAGTAGGCTTCAGGGTTAGGCAGCACTGAGCATGTATGTGTTGGGGGGGAGGGGGAGAAAGGGAGGAGTCACATATTAGAGAGAGGAAGAAGGAAAGAGGAGGGGTGTGTTTGTGGGAGTAGGAGGCATACTTTAGGAGTCAGGAGTGTGTAGTATAGTGTGTCGGATGACTTCCCAAGTGGAATGATAGGGGCAAAGGGAAGATTACTTCCTGGCTTAGACTAGTACCCCCTAACACACACACACATATTTCCCCTCTGATTCTCGGGTGGATGGTGTGTGAGAAGCACATTCAGATTTCCATTGGCCATCGTCATCAAATACCCAACGTTTTTAATGTGTGCTTTTTTCAGCATGGATATGTACCAGTCTCATGACTTTATGGCCATCGTAGCTGTTTTGATGTAGGTCTAGCCTCATTTGCCCTCTGTCACTGTCTGTAATCTCGTTCCTAATGTAGAGGGTTGTCGTTACAAACACACTCAGCCTAAGCCTTAAAGAGCTGACAATGGCTTTTCAATGGATCCCCAGTACATTCATCTTCACACACACTCAAACACACCAACCCCTTACATTCATCTTCAGCCAGGAGACTGTTGAGGGACTTCTCTTGGTAATTACACACGTTAATTTCCATGCATATATAATTTCTTTCCCATTAATGAACTCCACATATGGTTGTGGGAGATGTATAGACCAAATTCTAGTTTGAGGCATGTGGTTTCAAACATAGGCTAGCCAAAGCCCTGCTGTCCAGATAGCTCAGTTGAATGTCTCACGGATAGTCAGACAGCCATCCTCTTGCCAAGCTACAGAATCACTAAAACGGGCTGGGCCTGAAAGTCCAATTTCAATAAAATTGGACTCCATTTTATAAGTGATATTTTGGAAATTGCAAGTTATTCCTGACGGATTGTGTGGCAACTAAGTGGCGGCATCACCCGACGAGACCAGAGTGGACTGTCATTTCAGCAGCTGCAGGAGGACACCTCCAATCATACACAGACGTGAACACACACACACACACACTCCATCAAATCAAATGTTATTTGCCACATGCGCCAAATACAACAAGGGTAGACCTTACAGTGAAAAGCTTACTTACAAGCCCTTAACCAACAATGCAGTTTATAAGAAAAAAAAAAAAAAAAAGTGTTAAGTAAAAAATAGCAAATAATTAAAGAGCAACAGTAAAATAAAATAACAGTAGGGAGGCTATATACAGGGGGTACCGGTACAGAGTCACGTTGAGGGAGAGGTTGTTATCCTGGCACCCTATAGGCTGTCTCATCGTTGTCGATGATCAGGCCTACCACTGTTGTGTCGTCGGCAAACTTAATGATGGTGTTGGAGTCGTGCCTGGCCATGCAGTCATGGGTGAACAGGGAGTACAGGAGGGGACTGAGCACGCATCCCTGAGGGGCCCCCGTGTTGAGGATCAGCGTGGCAGATGTGTTGTTACCTACCCTTACCACCTGGGGGCGGCCCATCAGGAAGTCGAGGATCCAGTTGCAGAGGGAGGTGTTTAGTCCCAGGGTCCTTAGCTTAGTGATGAGCTTTGAGGGCACTATGGTGTTAAATGCTGAGCTGTAGTCAATGAATAGCATTCTCACCTAGGTGTTCCTCTTGTCCAGGTGGGAAAGGGCAGTGTGGAGTGCAATAGAGATTGCATCATCTGTGGATATGTTGTGGCGGTATGCAAATTGGAGTGGGTCTAGGGTTTCTGGGGTAATGGTGCTGATGTGAGCCATGATCAGCCTTTCAAAGCACGTGAGTGCTACGGGTCGGTAGTCATTTAGGCAGGTTATCTTAGTGTTCTCGGGCACAGGGACTATGGTGGTCTGCTTGAAACATGTTGGTATTACAGACTCAGTCAGGGACATGTTGAAAATGTCAGTGAAGACACTTGCCAGTTGGTCAGCGCATGCTCGGTGGACACGTCCTGGTAATCCGTCTGGCCCCGCGGCCTTGTGAATGTTGACCTGCTTAAAAGTCTTACTCACATCGGCTACGGAGAGCGTGATCACATAGTCATCCGGAACAGGTGATGCTCTCATGCATGCTTCAGTGTTGCTTGCCTCGAAGTGAACATAGAAGTGATTTAGCTCGTCTGGTAGGCTTGTGTCACTGGGCAGCTCGCGGCTGTGCTTCCCTTTGTAGTCTGTACTAGTTTTCAAGCCCGATTTAATGTTTTAAATGTTTTCTTTTATACACCTACCTCTGTGTGTGTGTGTGTGTGTGTGTGTGTGTGTGTGTGTGAGGCAGCACCTGTGGAGGACAAGGCCTTTGCTCTGTTAAGGGTCACAGCACAAACGGGGCCGCCCTTGGTGCTCAGCTGTGTTATTCCAGCCTGTCCCTCACCTAGAACACACACACACTTTAACACCCCTAAAGCAGCGTCCGTTGCTTGATGCATTGATCTGTGTTTATGATCTCTGTATGGGGTCTTCCTTATAGGACCACATGCACTCGTCTCTCTCTAACACACATGGGAATACACATAAGCACCTCTTATGCCCCCCTACCCCCCCCCCCCCCCCCCCCCCAGTAAGACTGCACACATATCAGGTATACACCCACACCCTAAAACCTCTCTGAATCTTTCCTTTCTTCTCATATAAACTTTAGAGTTATACAGTGAGCCCTTTGAGTTCAGATGGATGACATCACCAAGGGCTGAACAGATTGCTCACTCACTTTTCGAAGGGTTCCTAGTTCCACCCAGAACTCCAACTGTCCATCCCAAATGGCACCTTGTTCCCTATTTAGTGCACTACTTTTGACCAGGGCCCATAGGGATATGCATCCCAACTCTCTGGTTCTACAGTAGATCTTATTTCAGGCCAGATGGAATTCCAGACTACCAACATGCTTTTTAGATATCATAGGATCCCTCTAGCTACCATAGGATCCCTCAGGCTACCATAGGATCTCTCTGGCTACCATAGGATCCCTCTAGCTACCATAGGATCCCTCTAGCTACCATTGGATCCCTCGGGCTACCATAGGATCTCTCTGGCTACCATAGGATCCCTCTGGCTACCATAGGATCCCCTTCTATCGCTTTCTTCTGCTGAGCTAAAATTGACCATTGCTCTGGCTAGCTTTGGTGCAGAGCTGGACTAAGCTGCTCTCTCTGTCTGTCTGTAGCTCATGTGGTAATTTGATTAGATCTCAAAGCTAAAGTGGCGAATGAGCCTCACTTCTTCTCTCTATACTCCTCTCTATAAACCACACAAACACCGTCACACACACACACACACACACACACACACACAGGACTGTGTCATATTAGATTTAATTGACAGTTACTCATAAACCAATTCAGCAAATAAAGTTAATGACCCACCCGCCGCTGTGGCTGAATTGTCTGCATTGACTTGGAATCTAATTTGATCGGGGAAATATATGTATGATGCTCAGTCTAATTTACCCCAGTGGTTGCAAACTAAGAGCTTTTGTGCATAGGCAAGCAGCCTCCCAGCCTCCCAGCCTCAACTAGGTCTCTTAATGTGGGAATGCTCAACTCATATATAAAGCCTACATTCTTCCTCCTGTGGGTCGGCGTGGGTTAATTCTGGAGGGGCTTTTGCCTCTCCTTCTCTCTGAAATGAGAGCAGGGATTTGGTGTTTTGGGGGCCCTATGTTGTTGAATGAGAGTAGGGAGGGCTTGTAGCTGGTCAAGAGAGCTTGCTGGCTTATCACCACTCATACGTTTTCAAAAGCAGCGAGGGAGAGAGAGTATCTGGGCTAGTGCTTTGATGTGGGCCCCCAAGTGTATGGGTGGTCTGGGGGCCCTGTGGGTTTACACATACACTCACTCTCTACTGCTTGCATACACTCCTCCCCCTCTCGCTCTTCTCTCCTCTCTCTCTCTCACACATACACTCCTACACACATTTTCATGCTCGCTCGCTCGCTCACACACACACACACTCAGGCTACGCTTGAAGCCAAGTGCGATTTCACCAGACCGGTCATGAGGGGTTTCTAGAACAACCTCACAGAGGCCTTGTTCTAAAAATGTCCGCCATGGTTCCTTTGAAAGTCTGCCCTTTCCAACACACAGAAACAGCCCTAAGCTGCACTCTGCAGCTGCAGGTGAGGGGAACACATTCTAATAGCTAGCACATGAGATAGTGAAGGCCTCATACCAACCAGCAGTCAGGGGTAGAAGAGGGAGAGAAAGGTGTGTGTGTTTGTTTGTGTGTTTTGTGCATGTTTGTGTGTGTGTAGGTGTGTGTGCATGTGTGTAAGAGAGGGAGGGAGCACCCATTAAAGAGCTATGGCAACAGTCTTAAAATGTGATAGACCTAGGTGTTTGTTGTGTTATGGAATCTATCTGGACTCTGCTTTTAAGAGTTTGCCATAGGTTTTTGTGTTTTATCAAACTTTTGTTTGACATATCCATTTTATTCCTATTAGCACTATTGGTCATTGTATGGTGTAGGTTCCTGGTCTGCTAAAAATAAGTGAAAGGTAGGTGTTAGTTTTTCCACAGGCGTGTATCAGAGCTGCCGAGTTCTCTTTGAACCGCACATGTTTCTGATGTTCTGCTATTCCACTCTTTGGACTGGGACTTGCTTGTGAAAGGTTGGAGAGCACACACGGAACCTGTTTCTGAGCCACACAGACACTGTTTTTAAGAGTAGCATTATTGCTCTTAGACGGGGCTTAGGCCGAATCCTTCCATTCAAAGGCTGTGGGGATTATACAAACATGGAGTCTCACAGATTAGAGGTCTACCTCTACCTACTCCCCCATTTTCCATTCATTCTTCTTAAAGGGTTTATTTAGCATGGAGTAGGCTTCGGGTCGCGACACTTTCATTGCGTTCTCATCTTGTATGGGATGCAGTATTCAAGCCTCCCTCTGGTAATGCACAGCCCCATGTCGAGTAGCAGCGGCAGCTTTGATATCCCTGTTATTACACTCCTGATATCTCAGCAAGCAACATCCCTTTGATAAGCGTATTTATACATGCATGTCTCCACTTGGCCCCAATACGATTTTATCTCTATCTCTCTCTACAAAGCGCATAAATGAATTCATAACACTCTGTCTCCCTGGCCCCTCCCCAATATTAATAAATGCATGATCTCACGCTGGTCGCGTCTCTTTCATATGCTCATCAGTGTGTGTTTAATACTAGCGCTAGCAGCCCCGCCCTCCTCATGCATATTCATAGAGGCATAATGACCCCTCCCCCCCGCCTCTGGAAATGTAGCGCTCAGGAGGAGATCAAACACTATTCAAATGAGCAGGCTCCATTATTGATACACACACACACACACATACTTTGCATCTCTCACTCTCCCTATCTGTGCTGCTATCATTGTTGACCCAACCTGCCACAGGACGTCTATCTGCACTCAATGTGGCCATGCTTTTATGTTAGGAGAAATTGAATATCTTTGCACCCCTTTCATAAGGTTTAGGAAGGTTTACTTGATCCTTACGCATGGCATGCTTTTATTGAGAGGACATGGCTTAGTGATTTTAATTCAATAAAATGTCAATTGCTTGATTTAATACACATCTCCCTGATTTAATACACATCTCCCTGATTTAATACACATCTCCCTGATTTAATACACATCTCCCTGATTTAATACACATCTCCCTGATGTTTTTGTTGTTTAGTGGTTTTAGACAGGTTTGTGTCTCAAGAGATGTCCCAATCATAACGGGCTTTGAAATTCAAATCCCTTTCTTTCACCTCTCCTCCTCTTTTATTGTTAAAACTACGTTCTTTTCTCTTTTCCTCCTTCCCAGGGTTCCATCTGAGTGGTACGGTAACAGACCCGGCTACGTCCTCTCAGCCTGAGATGGTCTGCAGCGTGAGCGTCAGCTTCGACCGCTGTAAGATCACCGCGGTAACCTGTAGCTGCGGCAACAAGGACATCTTCTACTGCGCCCACGTGGTAGCGCTGGCCCTGTACCGCGTACGGAAGCCCGAGCAGGTCAAACTGCACCTGCCCATCTCAGAGACGCTGTTCCAGATGAGCCGGGATCAGCTGCAGAAGTTTGTCCAGTACCTGATATCAGTGCATCATACGGAGGTGTTGCCCACCGCACAGAAACTGGCTGATGAGATACTGTCAACTAACTCTGAGATCAACCAGGTCCACGGTGAGTGTGTGTAGGCCCCACTGAGGACATTGATTCTGTGCTAAAGGAAAAGGCTGGGCAGATCAATGCTACTCATTAGTCTGATCCTGCCTGTAAACTAAACGCTCTGTCCACCACTAATCAACACTAAAGACCTGGCCTTTATTTACCTTAGAGAAGGGGAGGAGGGGAGGAGAAGAGAGAGGTAGGTAAAGGGGTAAGAGGATGAGTGAAAGGAGGGAGAGACTCGTCTCTCAAGTTTCTACAGCTCCACAAGTTACCTAAAACTTGATTAAATTAATAACATGTAGAATGTCTCATTGTGTGTTTGTGTGCCTGTCTGTGTAGGGGCATCGGACTCTAGGGGCCAGTGTGGATGATGAGAAATGTGTGTGTGTGTAACTAACTTCTCTCTCTCGTGTGTGTGTGTGTAGGGGCCCCGGACCCCACTGCAGGGGCCAGTGTGGATGATGAGAACTGTTGGCACCTGGATGAGGATCAGGTCCAGGAGCAGGTGAAACTCTTCCTGTCACAGGGAGGATATCACGGCTCTGGGAAACAACTCAACCTCCTGTTCAGCAAGGTAACACACCACACACACGTGTCCATCAGACACACACCTGAGAATCAGACACACACACGAGCGTCAGACACAAACACACACACACCTCCCCACTCCCCTCTAGACACTCTCACAGTGTCTCTGTGTAAAACGTTTAAATGACTATTATTACTAGTTGAAGAGGCTGAAACATTGCATTATATCTCCTTTCATATAAAAACTCATTAACATCAAAAGGGTTGCATTTCTCCCAGTGTATTTCCACAGCCAAGTTGTTTCTGTTCAGTTCAAAGCCACTGTTTCTCTGTTAGTCTAAAGGGCCATTAGCATGGCAGTTGGCACATACATTAAACAGTACCATTGTTGAGGTTTGATGTTGCTTTTAGCACTTGATGTACACTTAGCCTGTCTCTACACCAGATGAGTGTTAGTCTGGCTGGTGTGCCAACCTCAGCAATATGATAGGCTCTTCTAGGGTAGAGTTTGCCTAATGTAAAATATTTAGCCTAGCGCTAATGTAAAATATTTACCTTGTGTCCCAACTGACACCCTATTACCTATGTTGTGCACTATTTTTGACAAGGGCCCATCTGGACACTGGTCAAAAGTAGTTCATATGGATTAGGGTATGGACTTTGGTCAGAAGTAGTGCACTACATAGGGAAAAGTGTGCCATTAGGGACACAGCCTAAAGCCTAGCGCTAATGTGAAATATTTAGCCTAGCACTAATGTGTCGACCGCTATGTAAATACTGGCTGGCCATTAGAACCTCAGTTTTAACTTCTACCTACATTAAGCCCTTCACACACACACACACACACACACACACACACACACACACACACACAGATACAGACACAGACACACACGCACTGATGCCGTCCTCCGTGTCCCATAGGTGAGGGAGATGCTGCGTATGCGTGACTCCAATGGAGCACGGATGTTAACACTGATCACAGAACAGTTTATGGCCGACCCTCGCCTGGCACTGTGGAGACAGCAGGGCACCACCATGACCGACAAGTACAGACAGCTCTGGGACGAACTAGGTGAGTGTACACACACACACACACACACACACACACACTAAAGAACAGCAGGATAAATTCACATTTGCAAACAAACATGCATGCTCACACATACAGTAGACTACTTAATGTACTGTACATATGTGCTAATACAGACAACACAAACAGCAACCTTGCGTGCTGTTGTATTATTATGAAACAATGCCGCCTTCTCCTACGCACACAATCACCATACCACACTCCCTTTATCTCTGCTTAATTACTTATTTATCGACTTTGGATAGGAAGCACTCACATGTCCACTGTGGCCTTCAGTACAGATGACTTGTATACGTACACACACACACACACACACACACACACACACACACACACACAGAATAATAGGTGGACCAAGAAAGGATGGACGTTTTTCTGCTTTGATTTGTATTTTTAGAAGTGTAACAATGCTTTGAAGTCCATACCAAACCATACCTCTGAGTCCTTTTCTGACTGCTTGATATGTAGCAAATGCTGCCTCTCGGCTCGGCTGCTTTCTACTTTTGTCTTTTACTCCTCCTCAGGGCCGCTTCTCCTCTCCTCTCCTCTCATCCAGACACAGCCTTCCTTCCTTCCTTCCTCTACTTCATCTCTGTTGGCCAATCACTCCTTTTCTTTTTTTCTGTCCATCAATTGTTGCCCAATCATAGTTGTAATAGCAGACTGTGTGTGTGTGTATTAGCTGATGTGTTTTTGGTTTGTCTTTGTGACACTATTGTCCTACATATTCCTGAATGTGTTGCGATATCCTTGGAGACTTCCTCACTTTTAGTCTGTAGTTTGTTTCTGTTTACTTGGTAGTGATATATGCAGTGCGTGTCTGTGACAGTGCGTGAAGGACAAATACAGTTTCCGCTTTTCAAAGAGTTTGTCAACAAGAAAAGGTCGATTGTGCGTCAGTGCTATATCTACAACTACAAAGTATGCAACTCCCTTCAATTATTGGGGGGTGAAAAAAATAGACAGAATAGCTTTCAAAACCTTAGATTTTTCTGAAAAGTTGGATAAACTTTAAAACCCATTTCTTTTGTGTCTCAAAATAACAACACAACAATAGACAAACATTTTGGGTCCAAAACAAAGAATTGATCTCTTTTACCTGGAGTTTAGTTTGGTTCTGTGCGTTTACCACCTTCATACTACTTTCCTGATTTTAGACTGAAGTCAAACATGACCTTGGTAGGATAAGACCTAACCTGTGTGTGTGTGTGTGTGTGTGCGCGCGTTCGCGTGTGCACGTGTGGTTTGTGTGTGTGTGTGTGTGTGTGTGTAGGTGCCCTGTGGATGTGTATCGTGCTGAACCCCCACTGTAAGACGGAGCAGAAGAGCTTGTGGCTCAGACAGCTGAGGAGGTGGAACAGCGTGGACGTGTGCCCCTGGGAGGATGGTAACCATGGCAACGATCTGCCCAACCTCACCCACTCCCTGCCTCAGGGTGCCCATGGCAACCAAGGTGAGAGACAGGACTCTCTTTCTTTTTCTACATCAACCCTCCATCTTTCTTTCTCTCTGTGTATCTGTCTTTCTTGTTTTCTCTATCTCTCTCCATATTGCGGTCTCCCTCGCTCCATCTCTCTCTCCCTCCCTCCAGTACCCTCTCCCACTCCGTCCCTCTATCCCTCCTCCTCCCTTCTCTCAGTCTAATGCAAGTCTCTCTCCTTCTCCATCCTGTCAGAGTCGCGTCCCCACAGGACGGTGTTCACACGGGCAATCGAGGCCTGTGACCTCCACTGGCAGGACCGTCACCTGCAGCACATCATTGCCAGCGACCTCTATGCCAACTACTGTTACCACGAGAACCAGGACGGCTCGCTCTTCGACGCACGCGGATGGCCCATGTGGCACGGTGAGTGTGTGTGAGAGTGTGTTTGTTTTAGTGTGTATCGTGATGATTGGTGTGTGTAAAGGGGAAACAGAGGACTGTGTGTCTGTATGTGTGTGTTGTCTTATCTCAAGTGGTCACATTTTGCCAAAAGCCTTATAGAAAGGGATAAAGACAACATAAGTTAATCACCCCTCTCTCTCTCTCTGTGTGTGTCTCTCTGTCTCTCTCTCTCTGTCTGTCTGTCTCTGTCTCTCTGTGTCTCTCTGTGTCTCTCTCTGTCTGTCTCTGTCTCTGTCTCTCTCTCTCTCTCTCTCTGTGTCTCTGTCTCTCTCTCTCTGTGTCTGTCTCTCTCTCTCTGTGTCTGTCTCTCTGTGTCTCTCTGTGTCTCTCTCTGTCTCTGTCTGTGTCTCTCTCTCTCTCTCTCTCTCTCTCTCTCTCTCTCTCTCTCTCTGTGTCTCTGTCTCTCTCTGTGTCTCTGTCTCTGTCTCTCTCTGTGTCTCTGTCTCTGTCTCTTGTCTCTGTCTCTGTCTCTGTTCTCTCTCTTCTCTCTCGTGTCTCTGTGTCTTCTCTTGTGTCTCTTCTGTTCTCTCCTGTTTCTCTCTGTTTCTCTCTGTTCTCTCTTCTTCTTCTCTCTGTCTCTTTCTCTCTGTCTCTCTCTTTCTCTGTGTCTCTCTCTGTCTGTCTCGTCTTCTTCTCCTCTGTGTCTTCTCTCTCTCGTCTCTGTCTCTCTTTTCTTCTCTCTCTCTCTCTTCTCCTCTCTTCTCTCTGTCTCTTCTCTCGTTCTCTGTCTCTCTCTCTGTCTCTGTCTTCTCTTGTCTCTCTGCTGTCTCTCTGTCTCTCTGTCTGTCTCTTTCTCTCTCTGTCTCTCTTCTCTCTCTGTCCTCTCTCTGTCTCTCTCTCCTCTCTCTCTGTCTCTGTGTCTCTCTGTTCTCTGTCTTCTCTCTCTCTCTTCTCTCTGTCTCTCTCTCTGTCTCTCTCTCTGTCTCTCTTTCTGTCTCTGTCTCTGTCTCTGTCTCTCTCTCTCTCTCTGTCTCTCTCTCTCTCAGAACACGTTCCAACGGCTTGTGCTAGGGTGGACGCCCTGCGTTCCCATGGTTACCCCCGCGAAGCACTGCGATTGGCCATTGCCGTGGTGAACACACTACGGCGGCAGCAGCAGAGACAACTGGAGCACTTCCGCCGACATAAGAAAGGTCAGACTGCACTTATTAGATGACATAGGACTGCTATAAAGCCTCAATGGACTCTTATAAAGCCTCATAGTGCAGATGTAAAGCTCTGTTACATACTAAAGTAGTACTGTCAATTGGGTTGTTACTATGTGCCCTGTAGTTGACATATGTTGTATCCTGTCCGTGACAGAGCTGCTCCATAAAGCCGTCACCTCCATAACCAACATGGAGGGCTGGGTGGGTCACCCCCTGGATCCCATCGGCACCCTGTTCAGCACCCTCACTGAAACGGGACGGGGGGCAGAGGAGGGGGCCAACACCTGCCTTGACCTCTCAGGTACTAAACATAATACATCTAGTCTTCTTTTCTCCATCTCTGTTTCTCTCTCACTTAGATGGTCCCTCTCTTTCACCTCTCACCATTCCCTCACATTCCTATTTTCTTATCCCTCTGTCTTTCCTCTCCTCTCCTAGTAAAAAATAGTCAAGGCACACCCTAAGCTGGCCCAGTGATATGGAAAAGAACTAGCTGGAGGTCTTGGGCCTGTCCCAAATACTTTGACCAGGAACGTGGTCAGATGTGCAGTCTATATGGAATAGGGTGGCGTTTGGGACAGCCTGACCCTCAGTGTTGTGGACTAGGAGGGAGGCTCCAGACCTCAGAGAACACTGAAAAACGGACAACTGACTACTAGGTACTGACCCTTGTGTGTCTCTCTCTCTCTCTCACGCTCAGATTGTTCCAGTGTGGTGAGTCGTGCGGAGCTGCAGCGGTTGCCAGTGCAGAGGTTGCTAGGCGAGGGCGAATCGTACGTGGCGCTTGCCGTGGAGACTGCTCTGATTGGCTTAGGCCAGCAGAGGGTGATGCCTGACGGGCTGTACGCCCAGGAGAAGGTGTGTCGCAACGAAGAGCAGCTATTGGCCAAGCTGCAGGAAGTGGAGCTGGATGACACGCTGGTCAAGATCTTCCGCAAACAAGCCGTCTTCCTGTTAGAGAGTGAGGACACACACACACTCTTTTACTTTGGTTATCGGATAGAGTGTAAAATAATCTTCCATATGGTTGTTATGAATGTGTGGAATGTGTGTTTCCATGACTGAGCTGTAGCTGTGAGGTAAAACAAGAGAGAGCTTTTGGTCTTTCCTTCTCCTCTCCATTTCCCTCAGTCTCTCCTTCCCTCTCGCCTTCCTTCTCTCCAAGCAATGAGGCTCTATGCTGAAGCAGGAAAAAAACACATTTCACTCCTCCATCTCAATATTTATTATCTTATTATCTTTCATTCAGTGGGGTAAATATAACTACAAGTGCCTTAAGCCAGACTAAAATAAACCACACAGTAAAACTAGCGACGTGTCGGCAGCCACACACACACACACACACACACACACACACACACACTGTACTGACATCTTGTACTGGGACAGAATGTGACTGCTGGGGTTTGGTTATGGGAGTGGGAGAGATGGTAGGCCATCTCGGAGACCCAGCCCTCAAACCTCCAGTCACACCCTAACCCCTGCCTCTGCCCAGGACGACCACCCACCTCTGGGCTGGTTGGTAATTGAGTCCCAGGCTCTAAGGCCTAAGACTGCTGGAGACTGTAATGGGGCTTGTGGTCTGTGGTCGGGGGAGTAATGGGGCTCGTGGTCAGGGGAGGGGCTGTTCAGTCTAAAATAACCCAGTGGAGACGAGGGGACGGAAGCCTAGTCTGCACATATGGCCATATGGCATTCACCACGTCATGGTGACTGCTTTGTGCTGCGTGGCCTTTTCTCCTCTGGACTGAGACTGGGAGGAGGAAACTATGATAGCCACTGTCTATCCACGCAATAATACACACACACACACACACACACACTTATAAGTATACTGTACTCACACATTCTCCTTTATGCGGCACAACAGACCGAAATATAATGAAATGTATTTTCTATTTTTGCATCTGATATTTCTATGTTCTTTTGATTGTTCCAAACTGTTTCACCCCTCTTCCTTTTCTGTGTGTTAACATGTTCTTCCTCCCTCCTTGTGTCTCCAGGTGGGCCGTACAGTGGCCTGGGAGAGATTGTCCACAGAGAGAGTGTTCCCATGCACACCTTCACCCGCTATCTCTTCACCTCTCTCCTACCTCACGACGCTGAACTGGCGTACAAGATTGCACTGAGAGCCATGCGGTGAGTCTCTCAACTTATCATTATTTGTGTGTGTGTGTGCTCTGTACGTGCGCGTGCGTTATGCAGATGGAGCGGCTCTGTTTTGATGTTCGTAGGGGGACCTGGATCAGTGAATATTAATGATGTTAATGAGAGTTTAATTAGTGTGTGTAATGAGCAGGCTCACACACGTCTGGCCTACAGAGACAGGACAGCTACATGGCTAACACCAACACCTCTCTACCATTCAGTTCTCAATGAGCTGCTCTTTGAACAATGCTAACAACGTGATATGATGCTAAATGATTGTGAATGAAAAAGAGCTACGTCGCGTACAGCAAGATGCAAGCCGAAAGCAGTGGCTGGAGTGTAATGAAAATACACCACAGCATTTCCTTAGTCAGGCCTCGGCTCCAGCCCTCCCCCAGTCCTCCTCTCTCCCCACCCAGCCCTGTGGCAGGGGTGAGGTAGAATAATGGAGCCACTACTTCTAGCTGCTCCAGGGTCCTGTGTGTCTGTCTGCTCAGCACATAATGAATGTGTGCAATGTAGCGTGGTGCTGGTGTAATATAGAGCTAGCTAAAAGGGCTGTCTTTTAATGGCCCATTACAACACTACCATAGACTCAGACAGCCTCACCTTATTCACACCTCTACTTAACACTAAGGAGGAATTGATCTTCAGCTCAAGGATTGTACAGTACGCACACCCAACTGATTTCACTAGTGCAGGGCGGATAGAATATTTTGTAGAAAGACATAAGGATGATAATACCTTCATATTGTTGATGCTTCCAGAGTTTTAGATTTCTAAAGATACATATCCAGCAAAATGTTCTAATGACTCTACCATGTAGCCTTGACTCGTCTTTGAGGCGGCCTAGGGAGCTTTTGTATAAAGAAGAGGTCCTGAGTAGAAGTCTTCCAGCGGATGCTGTGATTGATAGATTGGGGAAGTGAATAGACGTTTGTGAAGTGTTTACTTTGTCTGAGGGTGAAAACCAGGAGGTAGAGAGTTCAGGAGTCTCACTGATGTTCACCAGAAACCTGCACCAGACTATGAAAGAACTGGATAGTTGCTCTCTTTCACATCCATCTGTGGGTCGTTCCACCAATTATAGGTGCCTTTTGAGTAGTGTAACTTGTTTAAAAAAATGTATATATATATATTTCACCTAATGTTAACATTCTGTCATAAAGAGAGCACCTGTTCAACTTAATAAAAAACATGTTTTCCCATTTTCAAAAATGACTATAGTAAGTGCCTGCAACTTATCCAGAACGCAGCCCGCCTGGTTTTCAACCTTCCGAAGTTCTCTCATGTCACTTAACCAGCACTTGCAGCACTCTTCTAGCTCTGACTCTACTGATAGCTACGTTATTGAGGAAAAATTTACTTTCTATGCCTGTGATTTGTGGTTGTCCCACCTAGCAATCTTTAGATGAATGCACTAACTGTAAGTCGCTCTGGAGAAGAGCGTCTGCTAAATGACTAAAATGTAAAAAATGTAAATGTATTAAGTGCCAAATAAAGTAACAGGGTTGACCGTAACAGGGTTGACAACACTGCAAGCTTCACAAAGGTTTTTAATTTTGAAAACATTTTTAGCCTGTCGATCTATAGGTAACAGGGTTGACGTGTTAAGCTCGACCCGCTCAGTTTTCCACCACAAAACACTAGGAAATTGCCATAAATAGTAGAACCAGCTCACCTGCTTTTAAACTATTATTCTACTAATAGATATAGATAGAATAGATAGAAAAAATATGTAAAAAGTTATGGTTTCACCATATTAAAATGAGAATTCAGTTCACGTAACAGGCTTTACCTTAAAATTAGGGACTTTACAATGATGGTGAAAACTTGTATAAATGTTGGAGTAAAGTGGGTTAAAAACTTCATAGAATTCACAGAGGATGCACAGAGGGACATGTCAAAATGCAGAATTTTGCCAGTTTAGCAAATCTTTATTCATATAAAAAAACAGATTTATTGACATTTTCATGTGGTCTATATTAAAGGGCACTTCATTTAATATAACAGGCTTTTAAAATTCAATATTCGTGCACAATTTAAGGGCCCCTTGCCCTGAGGCCATGGCACCCTCTGGTGTGAAAAGTATCAAAGCATCCCATTCTGCCGTGACAGGGCACTATAGTGCCACAGGACCAATCTGACACCATAGTGGCTTGGGACTGATGTTGTATTATAGCTTACTGTTAAATGGATACAAGTGTCATTTGTAAAAATTTGACTTTTACTGTTCTGTTTTGAGTATTGGCTGTAACACGGCATTGAGTGTTTACATTGTAATTGATATGGTAAGATAAAAAAACATTGTAAAGTGGTTATCCCACTGGCTATAAGGTGAATGCACCAATTTGTAAGTCGCTCTGGATAAGAGCGTCTGCTAAATGACGTAAATGTAAATGTAAATAATGTTTCTGGTTGATGTATAGCCTAGCTTATGCAGATGTCAGCGTAAATATACCTGTTGTAGGCTATATGAGTATGAGAGAAAGAGAGAGAGCAGGAGAATAATAGCCCTAGCAATGGATTTGTTTTTGAGGTGGAATAAAAGATGCAGCTTCTCATTGCATTGAACAGAAAATTAAGATTTTCACTCAAACATTGAGTATTTTCCAAGCTTGGCTTATCGAAGCTCCACAACCAATCCCAACCAGTGGTTCTCTGTAAGTCACACAAAGACTGGAATGTTGTCGACGGCTCAATCTTTAGGGAATGCCTTTTTCGTTTCGTTCCACCTCATGAATGGTCCAGAATCACCCAGTGTGGTGGAGCTTTTAGCAGCTCTTTAGATGTGTTTGGAATGAACCATTTGTTGCTATGGCATCAGCACGTCTTCCGTTTCACACCAAGTCTCAGTGTTCACATTCACACAGCTCTCACCTTGGCTTTTTCCCACCTTTATCTAGCAAGACTGTTGGCCAGACAAACCTCTATTACCTTGTCTAGGCCCGACAGACTTCAGATGAAGATCGTTAAATACAGATTTTGTTGGTCCTCGTGGCAATAGTATCTCTGTCCCTTTTCTCTGAGGTGCATGCGTGTGTGTGTGTGTGTGTCCGTGCACCTGCGTGCGTGTGTACATGCTCTGATGTGTGCGAGCATGTGTGTAAGTATGTGTTTGATGTGTGTCCAGCCATAGAGGCCTGGAAGGTGAATCCCTTAATTTCCCCATGGACTCAATTAGCATTGTGATTGGTTGAAATCTGCACAGGTTCTTTTCTCTTTCAAAGGTAGCGAGACCTTTGAAACTGGGCTGGAAGAAGAGGGTTGAATTTGAGATGAGCTGCCCACAGTAGCAGACATGAAGACTACTGTGTATTTTTGTGTACTGTCAGTCTGTCCTATAGGGCCTGTTTATACATTAGCAGGTGTTACAAGCCTATGTCTTCATTAACAGCAAGAAAATAGTAATCATGCTACAGTTGATTCAGTTCTGTAATTAAGGACTAGGTTGGAAGTAAATTGCAGTAATAGGCTAACAACCTTAATGCGTTTCAGAACACTGACAAAACCTTGCTGTAGGTGTTTTGTTTGGTGTGTGTGTTTGCGCCTGTGCGTGTGTCTGTGTGTGATGCCATATGGTTTTTCTGTGCTTCTCAGGTTGCCTGTGTTGGAGTCCACAGCCTTGTCAGGTGACCTGTCGCGACCCCATCACTTGGTGTCTGTGGTCCCCAACCGCTACCCTCGCTGGTTCACACTCTCCCACATAGAGTCCCAGCAGTGTGAACTGGCCTCCACCATGCTGACTGCAGCCAAAGGTAAACACACACACACGTACACATACACACACATACACATTTGGGTCCCTTTGTCATTGTAATGTATGTGTGTTGTCCCTGTTGGTCCAGGTGATAGTTGTAAGCTGGAGACAGTACTAGAGTCCATTCAGAAGAACATCCACTCCTCGTCTCACATCTTTAAACTTGCCCAGGACGCCTTCAAGATCGCTACACTGATGGACAGCCTGCCAGACATTACACTGCTCAAAGTCTCACTGGAGCTTGGGCTACAGGTACAGACACAGACATACAGATACACACACACCTCTTTCCCATCCCTAACCGTCTCTCATTCATCAGGTGATGAGGATAACCCTGTCTACGTTAAACTGGAGGAGGAGGGAGATGGTACGGTGGTTAGTTACCTGTGCAACCGAAGTAGGTACGTGTACAACGTTTCCCCTTTGACTTTCTATAATGTACTACCTATTTAGTTCATGGACAGGATGAGGGCTTGAAAATAAATTGTCTTGTTATTCAAATTACTCTGCTAATCCCCTGAATTCTCCCTCTTTTGTGTGTGTCTCCCAGGTGTGTATGCGTTGGACAGTATCATGCAGAGTTGGTTCACCCTCTTCACCCCGACCGAGGCCACCAGCATCGTGGCCACCACCGTCATGTCCAACACCACCATTGTCCGCCTGCGTCTGGACTGTCATCAGCAGGAGAACCTGGCCTCCTCCGCCCGAACCCTGGCCCTGCAGTGTGCCATGAAGGACCCCCAGAACTGTGCCCTCTCTGCCCTCACCCTCTGTGAGAAGGACCACATCGCCTTCGAGACGGCCTACCAGATCGTTCTGGATGCGGCCGTCACGGGCATGAGCTACACACAGCTGTTTACGATAGCTAGGTACATGGAGCACAGGGGGTACCCTATGAGGGCGTACAAGCTAGCCACGTTAGCCATGGCTCATCTAAACCTCAGCTACAACCAGGATACCCACCCGGCTATCAACGACGTGCTGTGGGCCTGCGCTCTGAGTCACTCGCTGGGCAAGAACGAGCTGGCTGCCGTCATCCCCCTCGTGGTGAAGAGCGTGAAGTGTGCCACGGTGCTTTCCGACATTTTGCGGCGGTGCACGCTGACCACGCCGGGGATGGTGTCAGCGCTGCACAGCCGCAGGAACTCTGGGAAGCTGATGTCGCTGGACAAGGCTCCGCTCAGGCAGCTGCTGGATGCCACCATCGGGGCCTACATCAACACCACACACTCTCGCCTCACGCACATCAGCCCGCGGCACTACAGCGAGTTCATAGAGTTCCTGGGGAAGGCCCGAGAGACATTCCTCATGGCCCATGACGGACACATCCAGTTCACACAGTTCATAGACAATCTTAAACAGATCTATAAGGGCAAGAAGAAACTCATGATGCTGGTGAGGGAGAGGTTTGGCTGACCAGGGTCGGTCCCTAGTACTTTTCTATTAACTCAAGTCTGCCTTTTGAACTTCTTTAGACTTGAACATGGACAAGTAAAGAGAGAAACAAAGCAAAAGAAGGAGAAAAAATACTCAACAGAGCCACCTGGTATTATTGTTCTTGCTGTTATTGTTATAAACATTATTACTATCATTACTATGTGTACAGACGTGTTTTATTTTCAGAAGAGGAAATGTGTCAAGTTGTGAATGTTGTGAGTACTTATTTGTGTGTGTGAGAGGAAAAAGAGGATAACTAAAATGGCTTTTTCTGTTCGTTTTTTATTATTAGCATTTTTTATAGTATTTTTTATTTTGGTTTTATACTGAGTATATGTTGTCAAGTGGCTAAAGGCCCTTGTGCAAAAGCGCTCGTGTAAAAACGCATTGGCAGCCTCAAAGAGACACAATGGCTTTAAAACCACACAGCACCTCTTGGCTATTGGCTACGGAACGTAGGAAGCACTGCACAGCTTGGCTCCTTGAGAAAACCACCATTAGCATTTCTGTTGACTCAGCACTTGTGTTTTCTCTAGGTCATAGGCATTAGTTAGATTCTAGTTCTAGAATAATGCTCTTAACAGACTGTCGTTGTTTCAGATGCAGTAATAATGAATATCTGTTAGATTGAGGACTGCAGTACAGGACTACAGTAATGGCACAGTAAGATGAGGATATGGAGTATTATCAAAGCGAGTACTAGTGTTTGATGTATTATGGTAGATATATCCCAAAATGTACTTAGAACCATCAAACTTGTAATTGTGGGTTAGTTTTTGGTTAAAGTCTTAAGATAAACAGTTGCTGGAGACATTGCCTCGTACCTTCAGTTTAACCCAGTCTTTACTAAATGTACTGTATTGGTGTTTCAACAATTGAAGAAGTCCAGGTGGATCAGAAGACTAGCCTGGTTACCTGACTGTTTTTGTATTCAGAAGACTAGCCTGGTTACCTGACTGTTTCTGTATTCAGAAGACTAGCCTGGTTACCTGACTGTTTCTGTATTCAGAAGACTAGCCTGGTTACCTGACTGTTTCTGTATTCAGAAGACTAGCCTGGTTACCTGACTGTTTCTGTATTCAGAAGACTAGCCTGGTTACCTGACTGTTTCTGTATTCAGAAGACTAGCCTGGTTACCTGACTGTTTCTGTATTCAGAAGACTAGCCTGGTTACCTGACTGTTTCTGTATTCAGAAGACTAGCCTGGTTACCTGACTGTTTCTGTATTCAGAAGACTAGCCTGGTTACCTGACTGTTTCTGTATTCAGAAGACTAGCCTGGTTACCTGACTGTTTCTGTATTCAGAAGACTAGCCTGGTTACCTGACTGTTTCTGTATTCAGAAGACTAGCCTGGTTACCTGACTGTTTCTGTATTCAGAAGACTAGCCTGGTTAGCTGAATGTTTCTGTTTTCAATGCTACATTACATCGCTGCCTTGGCAAGACAACCAACCACAGGTTAACTAAAACCGAAACAGACTGGCACCTAGTGACCCAGGCTACTGGAAGATGTGTCGGACTGGGTAACTAACTACAGATCATGGTTATAGTTGTAGAGTGTAGCTCCAGAATGGGCCAGTGTCAATGCTTTCTGTGCGTGTGGAACCATAGAATAATTAGAATACCATTAGAATTTGGTTCTAATAGGCCTCTTCTATGTGTAGAACCTTCAGCAACTGTCAACAGACGTTCTCAGGGATTTCTCTAAAATGAAAAGGAAAAAGGAAGAACAAACAAGTATAGGAAAACAAAACGTGACACAACACAAGCAAGCATTTATTGTACTGTGTATATATAAAATAGTATAAGTCTGAATATGGAGGATTCAAAAGTATATGTTAACTAGTTTATACAGAGTATTCTATGTAATGTGAAATACTTGAAGCCACTGTAGCTTGCTCTTTTTCTGTTAGTCTTCTTTTTCTCTTTGTATTTACCACAGAACTTATCAGAAAGACTGAATTGGCTAATGGAGGGTTACTGTAGGCTCACAAGGATAGTGTCAGTACTAAGACATTGGTTGAGATTATCGTACTGTTATCAACAGTTTGATTGGTATCTATTCACGTTATTAGAGTACAGTGAAAATATGTTATTCTCTCAACGGCCACTTTTCACAATTAACAGATTTATGTATTTGACTGATGTGCAGTATTCCATTGACACTGTACATGGCATATGGTAACCTGAGCATAGATTTTTCATAACATTGATCAGCTGTTGAGAAATTACTTTAGATTTATAACTTTAGACCAATACTTGGCTAACCAGTAGTGTGAAATCTCTGGTCAATCAATGACACTGATTGATCCATTAAAACCAGCAGGACTGTGACCCTCGAGGACAGGAATTGTGCTCCGCTGCAATGTACTACAGTCCTCCTACTCTGTCTGCTTGCATCTGAACACGGCACAGACCAGTGTGTGTCTCTCTCTGTATACGGTCGGCAATTGTACTTATAACTTGCCTTGTTTCTTTTTTCTTTTCTTTTTGAAGTGCTTTCTCTTGTGTTCTTTAAAGAAGAAACAGCCTTTTCTCTTGCCTTGTCTTAACACTTTAAAGTAACCAAACAGGAGTTCTAACAACCAAACAAATGCGTTCCAAGAAGTGAAAGCCAAGCCACCTTGGTCCCAGCTTTAGTGTCCTTAATTAGTAACTGAATGGCTCTGTAAACTCTGTGCTTTTAACAAAGCAGTTCCTCATGTGTGTTTGGTGAAAAACGTCGTCCTGTGTCTCTCATCCTCTAATGAAAGGATTTCCTCTCTTTCTTTCTAGCAGTTTTTTTTCTGTTCGTGTAGGAAGTAGAATCTTCTGTTTTTCCATTTTATTTATTACAATGATCCATGTATACATGCTTATGAAATTAAGATTTGATACACCAATATCAATTTATTTATGTAACTAAAATCACTGTTTTATAATCTTGTTAATGAGTCAATTGATTTTTGTTTTGTTTTAATTAAAGTTAGTTGTTTTTTTAAGGTACATTTTGGCCTCCTTGGTTTTGTGAATGTTTACAGTACATCTCTTTCTGAGACCCAAGGCTGTTCGACAACATGTGTTGGTCGACATAGAAACAGACCAGTGAGTTGAGCTCAATCAGGAGACTTTGGATCAGCAGCAACATCAAACACACCAGAAGAAGAAGAAAATTATGTTGTTTTAAACTATCACCTCTGGGTGAATTAATACAGCAGTATTAATTCACATCCGTAGTTTGTGAATCAAGATTTGGGACAGCCTAGGCCAATCCCACAAACCTGTACAGTGCGTTCAGAAAGTATTATAACCCTTGACATTTTGTTGTGTTACAGCCTGAATTCAAAATGGATTAAATAGATTATTTTTCTCACCCATCTACATACAATACCCCATAATGACAAACTGAAAACATGTTTTTAGAAATGTTTTGGCAGCGATTACATTTACGTCATTTAGCAGACGCTCTTATCCAGAGCGACTTAAAAATTGGTGCATTCACCTTATAGCCAGTGGGATAACCACTACAATATGTTTTTGTTTTGTTTTGTTTTTTGGGGGGGGTAGAAGGATTACTTACAGCTGTGAGTCTTTCTGGGTAAGTCTAACACTTTTTAAGCAACTCCAGTGTATATTTGGCCTTGTGTTTTAGGTTATTGTCCGGCTGAAAGGTGAATTATTCACCCAGTGTCTGTTGGAAAGCAGACTGAACCAGGTTTTCCTGTAGGATTTTGCCTGTGCCTAGCTCTATTCCGTTTCTTTTTATCCTTAACTCCCTAGTCCTTGCTGATGACAAGCATATCCATAACATGATGCAGCCACCACCATGCTTGAAAATATGAAGAGTGGTACTCAGTGATGTGTTGTGTTGGATTTGCCCCAAACATAACGCTTTGTATTCAGGACCTGTTTGCCTTATTGCAAACAGGATGCATGTTTTGGAATATTTGTATTCTGTACAGGCTTCCTTCTTTTGACTCTGTCATTTAGGTTAGTATTGTGGAGTAACTACAATGTTGTCGACCCATCCTCAGTTTTCGCCTATCACAGCCGTTAAACTCTGTGACTGTTTTAAAGTTATCATTGGCCTCATGGTGAAATCCCTGAGCGATTTCCTTCCTCTCTGGCAACTGAGTTAGGAAGGACGCCTGTATCTTTGTAGTGACTGGGTGTATTGATACACTATCCAAAGTGTAATTAATAACTTCACCATGCAACAATTAACAGCCTGAATTCAAAATGGATTAAATAGATTATTTTTCTCACCCATCTACATACAATACCCCATAATGACAAACTGAAAACATGTTTTTAGAAAGGTCTCGCTACCTTTGAAAGAGAAAAGAACCTGTGCAGATTTCAACCAATCACAATGCTAATTGAGTCCATGGGGAAATTAAGGGATTCATCTTCCAGGCCTCTATGGCTGGACACACATCAAACACATACTTACACACATGCTCGCACACATCAGAGCATGTACACACGCACGCAGGTGCACGGACACACACACACACACACGCATGCACCTCAGAGAAAAGGGACAGAGATACTATTGCCACGAGGACCAACAAAATCTGTATTTAACGATCTTCATCTGAAGTCTGTCGGGCCTAGACAAGGTAATAGAGGTCGGTCTGGCCAACAGTCTTGCTAGATAAAGGTGGGAAAAAGCCAAGGTGAGAGCTGTGTGAATGTGAACACTGAGACTTGGTGTGAAACGGAAGACGTGCTGATGCCATAGCAACAAATGGTTCATTCCAAACACATCTAAAGAGCTGCTAAAAGCTCCACCACACTGGGTGATTCTGGACCATTCATGAGGTGGAACGAAACAAAAAAGGCATTCCCTAAAGATTGAGCCGTCGACAACATTCCAGTCTTTGTGTGACTTACAGAGAACCACTGGTTGGGATTGGTTGTGGAGCTTCGATAAGCCAAGCTTGGAAAATACTCAATGTTTGAGTGAAAATCTTAATTTTCTGTTCAATGCAATGAGAAGCTGCATCTTTTATTCCACCTCAAAAACAAATCCATTGCTAGGGCTAGTATTCTCCTGCTCTCTCTCTTTCTCTCATACTCATATAGCCTACAACAGGTATATTTACGCTGACTTCTGCATAAGCTAGGCTATACATCAACCATAAACATTATTTACATTTACGTCATTTAGCAGACACTCTTATCCAGAGCGACTTAAAAATTGGTGCATTCAC